TCAAAGCCAAAACGGCCCAGCATCATGAGCATCAGCTGGGACTTTCACCGCCACTCAAAGCCAAAACGGCCCTGCATCATGAGCATCACCTGGGACCTTCAAAGCCAAGCGTCCCAGCATCATGAGCATCAGCTGGGACCTTCCCCGCTATTCAAAGCAAAACAGCCCAGCATCATGAGCATCAGTTTGACCTTCTCCGCCACTCAAAGCCCAAATGCCCAGCATCATGAGTATGGGCTGGAACCTTCGCGGCCGCCCGAAACCAAACGCTAGAACATGCTGCAGGCAGGTTCCTGAAACGTGCCACACAAGTAAAGACTGTAGTGACTAGTCATGGATTTTACCCACTGTTACTTAACTTCTGTCGTGTGTGCGGTAGTCTTGCCCATTGAAGCATGTTGTTGATCCTCCGGCAATTCCGAGACTTGCTCGCACAAGCTGATGATGTGGCGCTAGGAACACATGGCGCTTTCTAAGGGCCCATGCGTTTCAGGAGACCCGATCGCAAGCAACATCTGAAGAAGGAGCCTACATTTGGGATGAGCGCTTCAGGTTTATTTGGGTAATCACAGCTCAAAAACTACACTGCGAAATCCTGGGACGCGTGGGATTCCAGAAGTCACGAGTAGACCTGCTACCCTTCTGCACAGCCAGCCTGGTCAATCCACTCCAAGATGACGTGGAACCTTTCTTCACAGAACTCCAGGGAGGTTTGGTCGCGATCAGAACTAAACTTACCTCAACAAAGGAAACACGCTTTTACGCTCACTCTCTGTCATCCTTGTCACCCTGTTTGCACGCTGGGACATTGCTGGCAAAGCAGGCAAAGCAGTATACCTCGACAGAAGGGGTCCTTCATTCCTACGACCTGTCCACCTTATGCGCAGACATGGAAAAGTCCGACGCGGAGATGCAATAGTTCCAAAAAATCTTGCACTCTCATCATATGGGAGACCTGATGCAATCTGTAATCTTGCTACCACTAAAGATAGACTCTCCAGCTTCCAGAACCTGCTTCGCCAAGAGGGCAAAGCGAGCCCAAAAAAAGCATCCCTCATTTTAGAAGAAATGCCACAAGCCTGCCTCTAAACCTTAAAACTGGCTCCAAGTAATTCCAGAAACTTGGCCAAGAAGGTGGCGGACGCTACGTCGATGTCAGAGACCAGCCAAAACTTCACCTGCGGTTGAGAGTGAGTTTAGGGTTCAGGCTTTGAGAACTCATGAGGATTGCCAGTGGCCCGTCTAAAAATAGAGGATGAATTATCCCTTCCCTCCGACTTGATACTGTAAATCCTCTAACATCCCAAGTATGCCCAAAGCGTTCTCAATTCACGTTCTCATTATTCTATACGGTGAATACAAAAAAATCCTGCATGACCCTGCACGCATTACTCTTCCTTGGTGGAATTATGGCACTATAGTATACCAAGGTCATGCAGGAAATTTACCATCAACAGTAGTTCCATTGCAGCCCCTAAAAACCCACAATATTAGGAACACAAAAATGCGGACAGCAGACCCCGAGCTTGACAGGAACCATGCCGCCCAGCAATTCGGAAGACCTGCTGGTTCCGGGGTTCAAGCTTTGGTCTTTAAACTGCCAAGTTTGAGTTTGGGCCGGCCGGGCAGGTTTAGGGTTCAGGGCTTAGAGTTTAGGCGCCGAGTAAGGGGTCGAGGTGGTTCAGAACATGCTGTACCCTCAAGGAATTTCCACCGGTTCATATAGCTAGAGCTTGCTTGTTATCGGGAACGTAGGGGCTCTACAAGAATCATTCTGAAAAGTATTGAAGGAACAACTGCAGATAGAGCATCTTAGAAGAATTTAGTTTGCTGGCTATGCTGATGCAATGAGGGTGTTGGGCCTTGGGTTCTACCCTAAACTCTAATGTCTTTCTGGTTCTTGGTAGAAAATGAGGGAACATCATGCCTATACAATCCCTATATAATGCATTCCCCTATTCCCTGCTAAGAAGCAGTCTAGTTGGTCTTCAGAGGATCAGCTGCAGCCTTCCTAGGAAAAACTTCCTAGCAGATTCTGGCTGTCGATAAAAGCCAGGGGATTCAGTACTTTCATAAACTTATTAGAATAGAGTAGTTTTCACGATCTTTTCCATTCTGCCAATGTTACCCCAATATATCCCCTATATAACCCCTATAATCCCCATCAAGAACTAAACGAGGCTTAGCAGGCCTTCGTTTGGAGGGCATTCGATCCTGTGAAAGCCCAAACCAAGGTTTTGCTTGCACAGGCCTTTGTAACCTCAAGAACGAGTCTTGCCAGTTCCGGGCCGAGCTACATGTGCTACAGTTAGCTGTACAAGGACTATACCCACAAATAATTGGGACCCGTCAGAATTACGTCCGCCACTCTCATATTGAAACAGTAAGAGGACACTGTCAACGCCAGACGTACATTTGGGGCTGAGGAGTGTCTGGTTGAGGGATTCTTTGGCTTCTGCCAGCCGAACATTCTCCTGCCTGCTCGTCTTGCGAGCGGGCGTATGGAGAGGCCTCCTGGCGCAAGGGTCCAGTGACCTGAGAACACCAAGACAAGGAAAAATTGGGTTCACGCGCAAGCAGAATGAGAGCTAGCGATACCACTCATGCTGAAACACACACAGTACCTCTCCACCACAACTACATAGATAACATGGTGTGCCTTGCGTGCAAGGCAATCTAGGAGCGGCAGAAAACTTAATGCAAATCACCTGCTGAAACAAATCCCGGAAAGCTGTGCCGTGACTTCAAGATTGCAAGATCCAGGTGCCTTGGTATGCAGATCAGCAGGTTGGTGACAACTCTACATGCATCCTTATGCGGAAGACCTCCGTAGACGACATGAACGATGCATTGCTCCCGCCTCCTCAGCACCTCTAGCTGTCCCTTCACGTCCGGATCTGGATCTGCCTCCAGTGTGAGACCTGCACAACAGCACAGCCTCACATCCCAACCCAGTTTGCTCCCATTGAAGTGTCTACTGGACCATTCTAGGTGTTTGCGGATCTACAAGGACTTGTCTCAAGGCCTCCTGTGAACTCTAAGAGCTGGCAGCGAGGCGACACTCTACGCTCCGCTACAGTCTCACGGCGGATCTAGGCAGTAGTACCACAAAATCTTCCGGGCTCAAAATGTACGAGCAAGTGGAATCAGCGCACGCACATGCCCATCAGCTCCGAAGCCCCAATGCAGCGACCTGAAAGGCTCTGAGGTAGCTGATGAAGGCCAAGGTTTTCGGCCTTGCAGCAGAGTTACCGCTCCAATACTCTGCTGGGAATATGGAGCTCCCTGCTCCAGTAACATGAACGTCAGGCACAACTTCTACCAGGATGCACTTGACTCTGACTGCAGCCCCTTTTCCTGTTCCAGCCTTGGAGGAGTTCCGGCGAACCTCGCAAACGGCCTGAGCCATTACGACGCTGCTTCACCACGAAGCAAGAACACTCACGTATGAGGTTACCCTTTGAGAGCGCGGCTCGGATGTTCATTGACAACCAGGTCAGGCAGAACAAGGCACCTGCAGTGCGATCGACGATCGTCAACACCTGCGAGCGTGGCTTGCAGCTCTGCTGAGATCGGCATGTCCAAAAGGGCGAAAGCTAGCCATGCAAATGCATGTGTCACGATGTACGCTTGACCTATCGGTCGTTGAGTGCAATCATGAGGATTCCCACCTATCATCACCACCTCAAGAACATTACCCTGTCTTGACCTTGAAAAAGGTACTGTATCTACAGTCTGCACAGACGTCCCGCTCATCCCTAAAACCGATCTCCGCACCCCGGAACTTCAATGTTCTCCAAAGATTGTCAGGACGGCATGAAGAGCTGGGGCACTTTGGGAGGGCACGTAGAGCTTGCAGCACTTTGGGGTTCTTTCTGGGTCCTCTATGTTGAGGCTTGGAAACTGCCGGCTGAAGCCAAGACACTTCGAAGTTGAGCCAGGACAGTTGAAGTTGTCCAAGGAAGTCCTTCTCTATTTACCATATATAACTTCATATTACTGCCTCTTATCCCATGTTATGAAGATGATTCTGCTTGCCGTTGTTATCCGTAGCGTTCTTGAGAAATATTTCAGGTTGAGCGACTGGGCTGTAGGGCTGAGGTCTTGCTAGGGGATATTACCCGGAAATGACTTGGGCTTGCCCTACCTAGGAATAGTTGGAAGATAAATTAGCCACGACACGGGCATGATTCAGTCTGTTCACGCGAAATCTTGTGTCAGGTATGCTCTGGCAAGCCCCTCCCGCGCGCCAGCCAAAGCACCCTCCGCAAAATTACACCACCGCTCCCCGTTGGAACTGGCGCATTGTAGAAAAGTTTTCAGTTGTGCTGCCAGGCATCAAGGAATGCTGTGAAGAGGCCTATGCTGAACAGGAGGCCAAGACCTAAGCAGTTGAGACCGAATCTCGGAGGCCAACCACGGGTAGGGTTTGAGGAGTTGCGTGTGGGGTTGCGGGGTTGTACGGAGTTATACGAGATGACATGGGCACGAGGTAGGAAAAAGCGTTCTCATAGATCAAGTGTTGGCAAAAGGGTCATATGGAATGATTGTGCAGACATTGGCTTGCGCTAATTGTTTCTGGATGATACCTGTGTTTGGATTTGGTTGTTGCTATTATTGTTTTTGTTCGATGTTTGCCTGTATGCTCAACATATCGGGACCTTGATAGCTGACCTCTACACGCTACACGCGTATAGCAAATATCTCACCCAGTTGCTGTATGGAGGACTTGCTCGGATTTCTGTGGATTGCTGAAAGAACCATGAGCCACAATCTCGCCGAACCTGAGCCCCTGGCTATTCAGCGCCACGCTGTCGTAGGCTGTAATGCAGACCACTCGGGGCATTTTGCTAGAGACCGCCACCTGGAGCTGCAGCTACAGGGACCTTATTCTGTAACCAAGCTTCGGGCATACAATGAAAAACTACATGTTCTTAGAAAATGAAAAAAATGCATGCTACCATGTGTTGTCTAGGGTTTGGGATGGTTTGGGAGCAGCTCAGCAACCACAATTAGGCGACCCCTGTCCAATTGGTTTGCTTGGCTTAGCCAAATCTATGCTCCCAATTTAATTACTTAAGATTACTGTTTTGGGATGTATTGGGAATCAAAGACTGAGGGTATTCGGTTTGAGTGTAGGAGAGTAAGCGACCTGATTCTTCCCAGTTCCGCAGAAGTATGCTGTACGAGAGGATCTCTCCACGTGATTGTGAGCACATTTACGTTGTTTGCGCTCATTCTTAAGGCTGTGTGTGGCAACACGACCCCATCCATCCCATGCCCAAGCAGGAGCCTTCGCAACGTTCTGCACGACCAGCACGCCAACCATGACCTTCCCTCGCTCCTTGAAGTCATTCCTGAGAGAAGCGGCTTGAGGTTGTAGCCTCTAGGTCTTGCGGTTTAGGGTTCAGTTGTCTTCTCGTGCAAAAGGTCAAGACCTGCTCCACTCGTAAGATGGACATCCCTGCCTTGTCAGTTCACAGGACGACCACAACATCTGAGCGATCTATGTGGGGGTTTCCCAAAATCAGGGGTTCCCTTTTGCGGGTTCGCTACAAGAAGGACAGTAGTATCTTGGGGTCTCCCTATTGAGGGAAACTACCATGTGCAATCCTTAGGAACCAAGGAGCACTTCCAGCGCGTACACGAAGAGAATGAAGGTCGACCACAGGCACATGGAGAAGAGGCTGGTGACGTAGTATCGGGAGAACCTTGAAACCGGGGCTTCTTGGGATAGCTCAAGGCATTACAATAGCAATAATACAAATACTAGCAACAAATGTAAGAATGATAACAGTAATAGTTGTACGGAGTTGTACGTGATAATTATGATAGTAATAAGAATAACTGTCGTACTAGAAGGGTACCAACAATCATCACCACGCCACTGGATATGCTCAGCAAGAGCTTGAAACATGGAATAGTCACTGGTACAACTTGGGGCACCGTGTCATCAGAAAATTGATGAATGAAAGACTGTTTGCTTTACTTGGTTGCCAGGCCACCGCTGGATTTCAAGACCAAAGATAGCCTTCGAAATGCCTGACATGCCATGCAGACCACTGATTAAAGTTCGCTGCAGGCATATCATAGTCGACAAAAACAACGCGGTTTCCACGCCTGTGCCCGAGTTCAAAATGCGGAGCGAACATTTCTGGACACGCGCGCTTGAATGCGCAATTCGCATGAAAACATGTCTGCCAGCTTACAGATTTTGTACGTGTAGCGGTCGATCGTGGCACGTACTGGAGCGCAACATCCCAACCATCCAAGCAGCTGTTGTCTAACAATGTGATATTACTTCACCAACAGGCACCCTGCCTGTGATGCGATATGAGGTGCCGAAGATGCCGATCTCGGCCCACTCGCCAGTCTGCCAAGGCCAGAGAGAATACAAGCGTGGGGGGGGGGGGGGGGNNGGGGGGGGGGGGGTAGGGACTTGTGTCCGAAGGCTGCTGGTAGAATGGCTGTACGAGTTATCATGATTCTCGTAGACAAGGAGAATGATATGATAGCGACAGTCATATTTTTGCAACTCTTGCAAGTAATCATCAAGTGTAATGCAACAGTTCAGTTCTCTTTTGGCACGATGCAGAACAATGCCGGAAACAGGCCTTGACCGTCTTGTCTGGGTTGGACTTCAAGTCATTCATGACCTGTCGAGGAATCATAAAAAGCGTTGAAACGAGAAGGAAGCCTTACTACGAACAGTGACTCTAACCCCCGAAGTCATTGCAAGGCTTGAGTGGGGACAACATCGCAATGAAATTGAAGCCGTAAAAACAAGCCCTGTAGGAAAACGTGCGATAGAAACTCTCAACCAGGCCACGAGGTGACGCCCGCGATCTGAGTGGCTTGGAAGCATCAGGACCTCAAAGGTTGTACAAACACCCAAGGGGCCTGGCAGCCACTTGAAGCAGCCTTGACGAAGCAAATTCCAAGCAGCGTTGGACCCCGTTTACAATATTCCACTCTTTCAAGTTTGCAAAAAACGCGACTGGTGGAGCAATGAAGGGAAAGCTTTGCCAGGGATTAGCTTGCTGGGTATGGGGATGACAAACCGGCAGACTTATTCGCAATGGTCCTGCGTTTGGTTGATTCTCCAGGCTTCAGATTGCAGGTGATGAGCACTGGACATGGTATTTCCAAAACCTGCAAAAAAATTCAGACCAAATGAGGAAGAACTTCAAGTAGCCGAGGCTCTGCGTACAGTGATTGCTCGTCCCACGGAAAATGCCTGGTGGAAGACAAGAGAACCCCACAGCGGCATGCGCAGATTCACAAGACCAGCAGTCACTAGACTATCTGCCCATGAATCTGAGCGACGAGAGGTTGAACATCATCAGCACTTGAGCTTTGATCTTCAGGCAGCAAGCGACGTGTCCTGAAGAAGTTGAAGGGCTTGAAATTTGAAACTTTGCTTGCTTTAGATCAAGCCTGGGGGGGAGCTTTGGGCTTTAGCTGGAACCTCGCCTTACTACGGCCTGACTCTGGCGCCGTAAAAGCAAAGCGTTTAACATCGCGAATTGTGGTCTGAAAAGGTCTGCTCGTGTTGCACATACATCATGAGCTCCATGGCATTGCAACGAGATAGCCAAGCTTCCAGTATCACCATCAACCACGCACCCAGATAAGAAGGTGGTGGCCACACCTTGGAAAAAGGCACCACTCCGTGATGCTGTTGCAAAGCCTGACCTACAACTGCTCCTTTGGTCCTGTAGTGTGCAAGCCCTTCACACATCTTGTGAAGGCTGACCCATCTTGCCTCGCGTAGCGAAACCTCTTGATGTTGTATGGACATCTGCAGCAGAGAGGCTCTGAGCATTTTGCACCGTCAGCTTCGGTTGGCCGAGCTCCTGGCACCTGCGAGCAGGTTCAGGATTTTGTGTCGAATTCCCACCCCACAAAGGGGATTACAGAGCATGATGGAAATTGTGTCGAGACTCCATCATATTCCAACTATACCACTCTTACTGAGTGCGGACTCGCCATACGCATGAGGTTTGAAGCTTGAGGTCTAAGGCCAGGATTGGATGAGCCCGGGTGGTGATGAGATTAACAATGACAATGAGTATGCTGACGCAACAAGTACCGATGATCACTCATGAAAAGTCCACGATGAAACAAGAGCAACGCTAATCTCAATCATTGTCCCTATACTTGGCCTGGAATTAATACCGGTGCAAATGTACAAGTAAGCGTATGAGACGCAAACTTAGCCGTGGTAGTACTGGTGGTGGTAGAAGCCTGGATACAGAAAATTGAGCCCTCAAGCGCTGTGCTAAGGAAAAGCTTGAATCCAATACCTTAGAGGTCAGGACCCTGGCTACCCTAAGCCCTGCTCAACCCTCCAACCCTTTATGTGCCCCAAAGCTACGCCCTGTAGCCTAAAAAACCTGAGGCCAGCACCATTCCCCAAAACTAAAACTGCGCCCTACACACCCGAGAAAAAAATAAAATACTAATCCACCATCCCAGGCACTTCTTGGCATCCAGAATCGTGCCGCGATCCAGAGTCTTGGCTTTTGGCTCCAGCCAGGCCATGCGGACCTGCTATAGCTGTTGTTTGAACAAGATATGGGAGATTAAAGTTTGAGGTTTAGGGTTTAAGGCTTGGGGTTTAGCATCTCGAGCACAAGCCTTCCCTAGTCGAGCCAGAGCAATGATTCAGGCACGTACCCACCCGCCCGCGCAATCCCGTAGCATCGAAACCATACGGAGGCTCCACTCTCTTTCGTCTCACGGCATCGTGTTTACACAGCTCGAAAAACAACATGCTCATATAATGTCTTATGTAACGATCTGAGGGATGTCACACCAGCAATGCATAAGATGGGTGGTCAACTTCATGCGTGCACGGGGGGGACCGGGTGTGTCGATAGACGTTGTTGTCGATTATATGCCTTGGCCATGGCCAGCTCTGACCAGTGGATGCAAGGGGCGCCCAGGCGTCTCGTAGAAAGCTGTCTATATCCATGAGCTGGATTGAAGGTGATGCGTGCTTCCAGCGTGTGGTCATGACGAAGAAGATGGCCCAGGTACGCTATCCGGGCTTCCTTCACCCCGAGAACGTCTAGAGTGTCAGGTTGATAGTTTCAACATCCCGGCCTCGAAGACACAAACAAAGTTGGCAGCCGCTGGATTGATGGCAAAGATGTGCTGCATGCCGATCTCGAGCAGCACAGCCTCAATGGGCAAGCAGAATTCAGCTGGTAATGCTGCAGGATGTTCATAAGGTTTTAGCACGGGCAAGCTCTACAATGTGTGATCAGGAGTCATAGAACAGGTTGAGCCCTTGCAAGGGACTGAGGGCTTGAGCTCTGGGAGAATTTTTTTCAAGGGATGTATCGACATGGCAGGGGCAAGAGTATCAGCACCTGGAGTTTGGGGCAACACAACGCATCTGTTCGTCTTTCTTGTTGTTCATCTAAGAATTTGCATGCGTAATTCTTCATATCTGTGATCATAATGCTACCTATCGGTTTCTTCTGGGGAGTCTGTGCATTTCATTGGTACCCTATGTTGGCTTGATTTGAGATATAGAGAGGACCATCACCGCAGCCTGGGGTTCCGCTGGCAGCGTCGGCATTCGTGGCTGCCTTGGATTGTCTGCAAGGCTGAGGGTTCGTTCCACTGACAGGGGATATCGGGTCTAGGGTTAAGGAAATTCAGCTTGCAGGGAATGTAGTAAATCTCCATGACAGAATCCTAATCCTAGCCGCTGGAGGTAAGAAATCGTTGGGGCATGTTTTCAGGATCCTGATCATGCAAGGTCTGTTGGAAACATGGCTGTCAGGGCATGGATTTGAAGCCTGAGTTCCATGCAAAACGGAATTCATGCGCAGATCTTTTGCAAAACAACGCCTTACGAGTAAAGTAAGCCTGAAGTAGCCTCTCAAACAAAGCCTCAGCCTCTAAAGCCTGCCTCCCCCTGGTCAATGCCTCAACATTGAAGTTCGGCGCTAGCCCCATCTGTTGTCGTCCCTCAAGCAAAGTTACTCTCGATGACCTGGAACAATATGATAGTGGCTTCTACTCTTGGAGACTGTACATTGTTCCATGGAGACAGCAGCCAATCTGAAATCATATGCCATCCTGAACATGCCTCAGGTGCTGCACCATTTTCACAGCTTGCTCGTCAAAGCCTTCGCGGGCAGTGGGTGCTTGTGTCACGTGCAAGCAACAAAGTCACGCAGTGGCTGCCAGCCTTTCCACTCAAAATGTTTTCTCGTTGACTGTTGCTGCAACTTGCCCAGTTGGGCCTAGTTGAGGGTTTGTGGTTGTAGGAGGAGCCTCGAACGATTGGATTGCGCATGGCCTCTTTGCTTCTACTTTTGGTGCAAAGGAGGGGCTCCCTGACAGGACCTGCTCCAAGCGGCTTGATTGTTCCAATCCACCACCGTATGCAGGGGCAACCCCCGCATTACGGCAAGGAGGCACAAGTCTCAACCCCAAACCCCATACTCTTGAATTCCAATGAATTCTACACATTGAACCCTTCATAGCCCCTTTCTGCCTTTCACCCCTTAAAGGGATCTTTGCCAGCACGGATCCCTCAAGCCTGGTCCATGCACTGACGTCCGGCGGCCTGTGAGACACTTAAGAGAAGATAGGGACTATTACAATGTTAGTCAGTCTCTGGGGGGTCCGTTTGTTGAGGATGTTACCGTGAGTAGAGGAATACTACGGCTAAATACTTCTTCACACACCCAAATGGGGATGCCTCGAGAACTTCCCTCTTTTTCTCATACCCTCAGTGAATGTTGAGGTGCCGTAAGTACGAGCAATCACGAGATCCATGAGACATAGCTCATGCATGGAATAGGAAAGGCCAGAAATCAGCGAGGCAGGTGAGAGCCAATGGTTGGGTCTGAAATCCTTCAAGGGGGTCATACGGGGGATTATCCCGGATTATATAGCCGAGTATTATATGGCTGATTAGGGGAGGATACCAGGTGTTTAGGCTATAGCTCAAACTGGTTGGATCTGAAATCCTTACCTTTCATCTCAAGTCCTAAATACCTTGCATGGATCGAGCACACAGAATTCACGCATTATTCCTTGAGCATCTCCATGTGTTACAATTTTTAAACATCCTATCCTCCCTGTGAAGCCATCCTGCCCAAACCCCCAACCCCAAAGCCCTGTAGACTTATTACGCTCCGCCCTTGGAGCACCTTGTCGCTCCTCAATCTCTCGCTTGGCCACGGTGTTGGAGCGCCGAATCTAAGAGATGCTGCTACCAGGGTTGTGGCGTTTGGACTACTTGAGGTTCATGGGACAAGGTAAGAAGTAATAACTGGGCTTATGACCCTACTCATAATTTGGGTAACCTACATAACTCCAGTTATGGGGGTCGTAAATACAGTTATTAGCCCAGTTGTAAGTAGTCACCAAGTCCCATGAGCCTCAAAGTAAGTAGGCATATTACGAGACACTAGTGCTAGATTGGAATACGAGTTGTTCTCAAAATAGTGGGCCCCTTTTGGTTATAGATGATACTACGGCACCTAATATTTAGGGGTATCAAAATGGAAACCTAATTTTTGGGAACTGCCCATATTGTTGGCTGTTGCAGTGGCTGTTCTGTATGCTTCTCAGGCCACAGCAATTAGATTCTCTTACTTGGGGTTAGTAGGGAATATGGGAGTAGGTATTAGATAGGATTATATAGGGACTCTATATCCTGCTAACCACTAGCAGGTAGATTGTACTGTTTAGGCGTAATCCTGAAATTACCTGGTCACAATGTAATGTTTTCCTGCCGAGGTTGAGGATTTGGGGTCCTATAATCTACTATAATATACCATAATATATCCTACTCTACTATAATTTAAAATAATATACCATAATATACCCTATTATACCCTAATATAAGGATTTTTGAAACAGTAGGTCAATTTCTATCCATTCGAGCCAGCTTCCTTCAGACAAGCCTCATTTTTACCTTTCTGCAATTGTCATGTGGGTGGTTGTCAAAATTAGGGTCCCTTTTTGGATCCCTATTATAATACGGCACCTCATATTTAGGGTACCTAACAAGGGACCATAATTTTGACAACCACCCATGTAGTAGCAAGAGATGTACAAGACATGACTCTTGACGGATAGTATGGTAACTTAGGTATTCCTATCTATGCAGGATGACTTGCAGAGGTAGCCCACCAAAACACAGGACCTAAGTTCAGAGCGCGCAGCTCTGCTAACATCACAACTATGACTTAATGATTCCAACTAGTTTTCTTAGCTAAGTGTCGCTATACAAGAGTTGCGTGGAGGGGAACGGGACTATACAGCTCTAATGCCTCTGTACTTTATACATAAGAGAACTACGTTTATGAGTGCAGGATGCGATCATTGCTATCATTACACCGATTGTGGTTCTGGAAACCATTAAGGCAGGGGCTCAGACAAAGACCGCTCAAACACAAGCAAAGACCCTTAAAGCCCAAGGCCCGGCTATACCGTGAATTTTGCAAGCTGAAGGCTGGCTAGGTCCCGTTTCTTGTGACGGACCCCGGATCTGTGTGCGGACCAGGAGGCCACGACCATCATGGCACCGTTGAAGAGCATCCAGCAACCTGTGAGTGCTACTCCAAATGTTTAGGGTTTGGGGCTATTATCCCAATAATGGAGAATGAAATGGAAAAGAACCTGGAGAATGAAAGGCAAACTTGGAAGATATAGGGGTTTTACAGGGTTTAAGGTTTACAAAAATTGGGGGGGGTCTCTTTTTTGGGGCCCCCACAAGAATCAGGAGTATAGGTGACACTCACAAGGCAACAGACGCATGTGAACACATGCTTGCGAACGCACCTTCTTTTACTGCTCAAGGCATGGGGTCGAGCAGATCCAGAACTACGAAGTCTCATCCACAGTCCTCCTGAACAGGTTGATGTTCTGGCGACCGTGTGACAAAAATCATCAGCATCCGAAACCGCATCAGAGCGAGCGCCCAACCGGCATGTCAAGCTCCGAACGGATACGACACTGAAGGAGCACGGATGGTGTCAGCGTCAAAGCTTCCGTCCCAGGCCCTGAACGACACTTGGCCAAACAGGCTCGAGCAACCCCCATCCGGCAGATCTGCCCGTTTCAAGATCGTTTCTTGACGGCCAATCAGCCGGGTATGCGTCTGTGGACACACGATCAATGTACACGTTCACACGCAACTCCAGAGCAAGATCCCAAAACACTGAAACCAGCTCAGAGAGATCCTCACGTGCCGAATAGCCTTTGATCAAGGCTCCCTCCACCGCCTCGGAGTCAATGAAGAGCTCGGATGATATCCTTGCCTCTGATCATGGGCCCAAAGGTGGAGAGCGCCACAATCGGTGCAAGCATTTCAATCGGCACGATCTGAGTCTTTCTCACTAGCCAGAACTTCTTGACTCTCTCGGGGACCGCCGCCGTGAACTGGTACGGTTTGCTCTGTTGTCGATCGAAGACGACGCCTCCGATTCGGTCCAATCCTTTCCCGTTCTTGCGAGCATCTGGAGTGAAGCCGTCCGTGAACAAGACTGCGTCGCTCTTCTTCAGCTTCTGCTCCTCGATCGGACGTGGAGGTCCATCCTGGACAAGCTTGAGCCACTGGAACAACGAAAGCAGCAGAGCAGGATTCAGTGCAAAACCATCATCACGAGCGTGCTTCAGGTATTGGCGCTCGGAAAGCGACCTGAGAAAAGCCCTTCCGACCTTTCCCCAGAGCTGAGATGCGCCAAACATGAGCTTCCCCGCCGAACCTGGATCGAGAGACTCTTTCTGAAGAATGTCCTCGATCGTTTCTTTGAGCTCCGCTCTCCTCTTTTGCTGGATCTCGAGCTTGAACTCTTCCAGGTTATAGGTCACTCCGAGCACGTCAGGCTTCTTGGACCTCTGGAGCTTCTTCACGTCAAAAGCCGCTCCGAGCCACCAATGAATTTTCTGCGCCACATCGTGTGCGAGCACGCAGGAATGACTGGGCTCGAAGCCGTACTTGTCGTCGTAGAAGTTGAAGGCAACCAAGAAGAAGAGGTTCACAAGGATGTCGTTGATGGCAGCCGAGCGGCGGTTGTAATTGTAGACGGCGGAGACCAGTCCGAACGAGTGACCTACCATGACAAAGAATTTGACCTTGCCATCGGCGGGCTCCTTGAGGCATATCACGCTGAACTTCCGGCGCGAAGGATGAGTGGGAATCTGGCGATACGCCTTCTTCTCGTCTAGGACCCAACCCTCGAGAGAGGGACGGGAGCCCTTGGCCAGCCTCGAGCGAAGCTCTCTGATCACAGCCACGTTGTAGTCGGTCGAGGGGAGCTGCAGCTTCTCGGAGATCTCCGTGATCTTGTTGATCATGTTCGTCGTGGCGCTGTCGCAGCCCCTGACCTTGTTCTTTTTAAAAGCGCTGAGTGGGAATCCAATCATCCGCTTGAACAAGGTCTGAGACCTCCTGTTCTGAGCCGAGTGGGCCCAAGCAGGAACCTTCAAGCGCATCTTCGAGCGTCGCTTCCCAGATGACTTTGAGATTGTCAGACCGCTGAACAGCGGCCACTCGGCGAACAATCTTCCTGCGAATTTCCCAGGCCCGAGCAAGAGCATCGCGAACAGAACGAACGTCCTGAGCCTTCTCGTAGGGCGGCCAACGACCGGAAGGCCTGATCTTGCCAACGATGCGGAAGCCGTGCAGCATGTCCTCGACGATGGAGCCGTCGGGGCACTGCGCCGCCTGGAGCATTTCCTTGTAGAGCTCGATACGCGTAGTGACGCCGAGCTGGGCAGGTTGACCATCTGGCACCCCTCAAAGAAGGCGCCGAAGGTGTCTATCTTGGATCTGAGTCAAGACCGTGTCAGTTGCAGGCAAGAGATGTACTGCTCGATCATGCCAATGTTGAAGCTGACGAAGGCGCCACTGACACAGCGCCTCGGGACCCTTGCATACTCGGTCGATCGATCGCAGAAGCTTATCCTGCAGCTTAAGCGGAATGGAGAAAGGGCGGGGCACGCTGAGAGCCCAGCGCACAGCATCACCTGGCTCGCACTCCACGTCCAGCAAGGGCTTGACCGAACCGCGCTTGAGCTGATAGCCTGCTGCTTGAGCTAGCATGGCTGATCGATTCTGTCGATGCTCGATCCAAGCTTTGCTCGTCCCGAGCGGACGTTTGCGGTCCACAGATCGAAGAAGAAAGGACTGAGCAAACTGCGGGCAATCCTCAAAGAAAGCACTGGAGACCTGCTGCGCGATCGCCTCGCACAGCGGCTTGGGGTAGACCTGAGCTGCCTTGGTGCGAAAGACCCACTTTCGATCCTTCTTGTTCCAGACCTTGCCCTTGAGCGGGACGTGCTTGTGCCCACCTTTGCAGCGAGCGCTTAGGGCCTGCAAAAGGGCCTGAGAGGTCAACAAAGTGCTGGGTTTAAGGTGCAAAGAACCAAAGCAGCATTGGTCAAAAGAAACAACGAAAGTTGGATACATGATCTTGTGAAACTGGATGGACGGCATGTTCCAGAGAAGGCTTTTCTCGGGATTCTCGAGAGAGAAGTCACCGCCCTCGGCCAGGACGGCGAGCGCTGCCTCCACGGACTTGTCCAGAAACATGTTGCCCAGTAGAGCCTGCTGCTTTTCAGCTGGTGCGAGAGATGGCAATCCGAGCGGATGCTCGAGCGATCTCAAAGGGCGCGGCCCATTCTTCATCTTGACAGCTCTAGCCATACTGAAGGTAGAGCACGGAGTCCCCAAGTGAAGGAAGCGCACGGAGCCGCGGTGTATCAGCTCTTTGATAAAGGCCCAAAACTCCTCATCTTGAACATCTCGAGCAGAGCTGACTTCGCCTTCGGCCACAATGTCGATAGGTGGGAGGCACGGAACTCCAAGTTGCTTCATGGCAGCGGCGACGCCCCCCGTGCCCGCAAAGATCTCAAGAAAGAACGGCCCTTTTGAGGCCACGAGCGCAGCATCTTTGGGGATCTCGTCCCACGAGGCCCAAGGAGAGCTCTCAGAAAGGCTGACTGGATGCACTGCAACTTTCACATTGCTTGAGCGCTGATTATTCGTTGCAGCGGCTTCCAGGCCTTTCTGAGCGGCCGTTTCCCGAGCGGGCCCGGGGGACTGTTCAGCTCAGTGATTGCCATGCCAGAGGTGAGCCTGGCCGCACTGAACGCAGGTGTGCAAATTCTTGCACTGGTCGCCGAAGCGGCACCCAAGCGAGCAATTGTAAAAGGGGCATCTGCGCCGTCCATTGTACTTGAACGAAGTGATTGTCTTCCATTCTTTGTCCGGGACTTTGGTGTTCTTATCCGCCGGCTTGTCGTCGAGCCCGCCTTTGGAGCCTTCTTTGTACTTCTTGACCATCTCCTTCTGGCGCTCTCGGCGCAGCTTGTTCTTGCGAGCGCGACTGCCCGGCGGCCTGTTCGGTGGAGGAGGTGTGGAAGCATCTGGCGAACGCCCTCTCTTTGCTGGCGTTTGCGGAGCACTGGCCTGAGCTTGCTGGAACTTCTCCACTTCAGCTGAAGAGCGCGCATCGTTCCAGAGCTGCTTGTGATTTTTGAGGACCTCAAGCAGCGCATCGGAGAAGGTGGGGAAGAACTTGCGCTTGTCACTACTGAGCTTCACCGCCTGCTTTCTGATCAGGTTGTCAACGGAGAGCAGAAGTGACAGGCCCCTGTTTTCATGCCTCCATTCCTCGAGCTCTGAGAGGTACCGCAGAGGGCCCGCGGCAAAGGTGTTGAAGTCGCAAATGTTCAGATACTCAAGCGCCACGAAGAACGCGTGCAAACGATCCAAGACGTCTGACTCCGCCGCGATCGCAGCCTTATTGTCACGCTGAACCACCTTGAGCAAGCCCGTGGTCTGGACCAGGCGATCGCTGCGCGTGCGCATCTCGGCCACCTCGTAGTAGCTGATGGAGCCGTGCATCATATAGTCCCGGTAGATTCGCTCCACGAACTTGCGGCGGGGCTCTCTCATGTAGGTGAGGATGACGTCTGGATGAGCGGAGACGAAAGTCTCACGGAATTCAGCGTGATCTTCACCTGGGATCTCCGGGATCTTAGTTGGATCTTCTTCCATTTTGGCTCGCCGAGCGGCCGTATGGTCTTGAAGAGCTGCTGATGCTTTCCAGACGGCCGCCAGCAGACTCAAAGACAGCTCGCGAGCGGCGTTGTCGGCTCCGAACTTCGCATCATTATTGACAATGGCCTTGAGCGTGGTCTTGGCTTGGGAGATGGTGTCCCCCAACATCGCGATCCTCTCGATCGAGAGCAAGGAGGAGTCGGCCATGAGCAAGCACAAATTGTCTGGAAGCTTCTGCCTGCCAAAAATCTGACGAACTGCCAGATCAGGCACAGCGCCTGTGTAGGAAGTCTTATCCACCATCTCCAGACTCCCGAGCGGGCTACTATGCATGAAGAGACAAAGCGCCCTACAGGAGCCAAGTTAGAGCTCAAGCAGCCAAGCTAAGACAAATGCAACTGACAAAGGTTGTGCAAATTTGAAAAGCCAGCTTTTAAGTCGAGCAGACAGTCAATTGCTGAACATCAGAGAAACGTCGGGTCTAGCTTTAGCACAGTGCTTGCAAAGCAGACCAGGATCCGGCAACAAGTGTCCTACACGCACACACTCCTCGGCCGACAACCAAGCGCACGCCACGACCTGGTAGTCTGCCTTGGACGAGCAATGGTACTTGCACTCGTGCTGGATGCCGAGCCGTCTGGTATCTTGAGGAAAACTCTCTGCGATGGGGAGCAGATCGTCGTCCCCTTCGTCCACTAAGTCGTCCTTGGAGACGCATTTGACGCATCCTTCAAGTCCGCTACTAGCTGTTGCATCATCACAGCCGGTATTGTGGAGCGATCGCGGGTGTACTTGAGGACCATGGGCCCTGGATCTTTCCAGTTTGCTTGCAAACCGATCTCCTGGGGCGTTCGACCTTGGTGCACAGCAGCGTCGAGCATAGTCACCCGAGGAGAGTGCATGGTGAAGGTCTTGATCTTGTCGGAAGTCTCTTTGGGCGGCGCGATCGTGCCATACTTGGTGAAGGCATCGCGCGCCAACCATCGAAACCAGAGCACCGAGCGGTTGTAGTCTGGCGGGAAGCTGTTGAACACTTCGACCGTATTGAGGTCGGGCACCCAAAAATCTCTTTCGGGCACATTCGCAACGTCGAACAGCTCCCAGCCAACCCAGAGCCATTGGCCGTCCGTAAAGCCGACGTTGGGGACGATGAACTTTGTCCCTCTTCGCTTTCTTTCAACCTTTGTCTGCCATGCGACGCCGAGCAGCCCAACGTCCGGCCTCATCTCGAGCTCGAGCGGCTTGACATGGATGGCATCGTCGAACCTGAGCGAAGCAAAGACCAGCAGAGCAACCACCAAGTGAAGATTCGAGCGGCTGCCGGCTCCTTCCCGGAGCACACAAACTTCTCCATCGCCTGCACGACCTCGAAGGGCATGGCGATCGCCTCCTTGATCATCTTGGCACGCTTCTGGAAGACGTCCGTCTCCAGAGCCAGGAGGCGTGGAAGCTTTATTGCCAGCCGCGAACCGACCCACTTCAGAGCCGACCGCAACGACGGGATGACAGTGGGCCCGAGGAACAACGCGATTGACCACGGCATCGATCGTAAGCGGGTAGAGAGTCACTGAGTTGGCTGAACACCACCTCTCAAGCTTCTCCCACCTTCTGACGTGAACCGCCATTGTCTTTGGAGCCCCGGAACTAAGAACCAGGTTCTTGATCCTTTCTCTTTCCGGGCCGGTGAGCGTCTCGTCACCTGCCTCATGCTTGTTGAGCTCTGCATGGTCTCCGGCTCGACCGGCCACTGCCTCCAACCGAGCGGCCCACCTCTGCTTTTCAGCAGCTTCTGCGTCGAGCAATGGTGTGGAACTATTTGTTGCCGATGTTGGCAGCTTCGGTTTTGGCACCGACTTCGGCATCGCGAGCAGCGACTTCATGGCGGCTTGTCTGCGCAGAGCTAAGGCGTCGGCATGGGCTCGCTTGCGAACTTTCGAGCATTGTCCAAAGCCGAGCTGCATGGTGAAAGACTCTGTGAAGAGCATCTCTGCCGCCTTTGCCAGAAGCCAAAATTGCTCGAGCATCAGGGCGCGCTGGCTGAAAACCGCGAGGGCATCCTTGTCAATCGCGGGAGCCCACGCAATGATGGAGGCAGCAAACTGACCCTCGGACTCCGCCTCGACCGAGTAGACAAAGTCTAAGCTTGCCAACGGAGCGGCGAGAACCGCCCTCCGGAACTGATCGTCAAAACAGCCGACCGACAGGACCTTGACAACCCATCTGTCCGGACGATCGTCCATGAGTTTTATTGACAAAGTTTAAGACCAAAAGAAAAAAACTAAGTAAGTTGACACCACAAAAAGAAAACTGTGCACCCGCTTTGCTTGAACAGCGCGTCAAACGGACACGCACAGCTTGATAAATGTGTGTGAGAAACAAAACAGCCAGCTGAGCATCAGAGTGACATGCTTGCAGAGACTGAACAGTTGAAGCCAAGCTCTGTCCCTACCAAGCACAATCAAGCATGAACATGCTGCACTGTAAGACTAAAACCCTTGCACACGCCTGCATGAACACGCACTGCTGGACTGCAAAACTTGACGCACACTAACATGAACATGCGAAGCTAGAGGTCAATTCAAGCACAACCGACAGCACGTCATGGGCATCAGCAGGCAAAGCCTTCCGAACCCTCTTTTTGACGCGAGCGGTCGCATACTTTTGATTTGTATCTGGTTCCTGGAGCAAAATGCGACAACATTGCCGAACGGCTCCTAACTCAAAACACGGAAGATCACTCTTCTGTGCTCGCCGCGTAAGGGCCAAAGCTTCTTGGCTCAGTCCCCGGGCGAGCACCAGAGTTGTTGCCGGCCTCGAGCACCTCGATGGTGATCCTGCTCTGCTCCTGCGCCTCCATGAAGCTCGAGCGAGCGCCCTCCACCGAGCTCACGAAGGCGTCCGGCGTCATAGTAGCCATGCTGCGAGCTTGGTTGGCCCAGGCTGTTGTCGTCCACGTCTCCTTGAGGAGCTGCCTCGCCTGGCTCGGTCATGGAGAACTCGGCGTCCCAATGCACTGGAGCCAGCGCAGCCTGCCTGCGAGACGGAGCCGGCAAAGACTTCAGAGCGTTGCTCGCGATCTCCACCGGTTGCACGGAGGCGGCGTCCAAGATCGGCGGCACCACTGTTGCCTCGACCTGCTTGTTACGCAAGTTGAGGGCGAGCACCTCGATCTCCACCATGTGCCTGCCGGCCTTGTAGAGGTGAAGCGCAGGTTTTTTCGGATGGGACTCCACGGCGATCGCCTCGATCCTTGGCCCAGTCTCTTCTTCAGTGCCCGCGTCGATCGCAGCCGTCCAGTGAGCATGGATGTTTGCCAACTGCGACAACTGGAGCTGCTGATCAGGACACTCGATCCGAGCTGCCTGCTGTCATCAGAGTCGGGCCTGAAACTCGGGACACCACGAGCCACGAAGGCGGAGCCGCCACACTGCTGGTGCTGACATCGACTCGGTCGGCAGCGCTGTAGAACCTTGCCTCAAGCCGATCAGCGTCCAGCCCCACTGCATCGCCTGACGCTGAGGCAACCAGTCTCAGCTCGAAGTGGCAAAGTGGATAGTCGAGCGCCACCACCACACCTCCATTGGAGACAGCATACAGGCGACCGCCTACTTCCCAGGAGTTAGCGATCACGCGGTAGCCTTGGAAGACAATCACGGTCACCGACGGGATGAACA